CATATTTGGCATACTTCCCATATTTGGCATTCCTCCATAACATCCTTGTCCACCACAACAACCTCCCTGTCTATGACATCCACCATGACCATCACATCCTGGTTTCTTTTCACCTCCACAGTGACATTGATGTTGTTCTTCTTGTTTTGGTTTTTCTTCTTGTTGTTTGTTATGTCTTTTTTCATTTTGTTTTTCAATAGCAACGAACTTTTCAACAACTTTTTGTAATTCATAAGTATTATCATCATAATCAAGTTTATTACCAAGTCTTAAATCAACAACTGATTTTTGGTATTGTCCAATCATTCTATAAGCCATACCTCTCATCTTATATGCTTTAGCATTATCTGGATTCAATTTAATAGCTGTAGTACAATCTCTAATTGCTGCATTTGGCTTTTTGGCTTTATTGTAGTATTGAGCACGACAAGCAAAAAAGTTAGCAACTCTTGGGTTCAACTTAATTGCTTCAGTAATTGTATTAATTGCTTTATCAACTTCTCCATTATTAAATGCTTCCATGGCTTCACTTCGTTTAGTAGAGGCTTGAACCTCCATTTCTTCAGTAACTTCAATATCCATATTAATAGTTTCTGGTTCAATTGTATCACCAGGAATAACGTCAGGATCATCAATTTTAATATCTTCTTCCATAGGTTTTTCTTTAACTGTTTCTTCTTCTTTCTTTTCTTCTTCCATTGGCTTTTCTTCAGATTTTGGCTCTTCTTTTTTTGGTTCAGGAATCTTACCTCCAAGAGAAATAATATAATTTCTTAAGAAATCAAGTCTATCGTCATTAAGAAACTCTGGATGTTGTTGAAGAAGATTAATAAAAACTTTTAATGCTTGAATTTGTGAGTTTGTTACACCAAATGAATCCATTTTAATGATTAATTAACTTAGTTTAGTTTAAATAGTTCTTTGTGAGGATTAAGTTCCGATGTGGCATGAGTCAATTCCACGTAATCATATGTACCTTATTCTTTATTTCTTTTATTTTTGAAAGTCTATGGATAACAACAACAAACAACCTAAACGTTCAAAGAAACGGAGTCACAATAAATTATTACCAAAAACTGTACAAAAAGAAGTGATGAATGGTATTCGTGTTAGTAATATTCCAATAAAGTACACTATTGAACAATTTGTTGATTATTTTCGCCATTGTGGAATTGCAAAAAAGAAAACACCAACTCAATACGATGCATATTTCTCTAATGAGAATGAAAGTAATAAAACTAAAGAAGGTGTTCTTTATTTTTTACATGAGGAGTCAGTTCAAAAAGCTATTGAATATTATGATAATTCTCAGATAGAACCAAAATGTTTCATTCAGATTGAAGGCATTTTTTCACAACCTGAAGACTCAAATCCTAACGAAAAAAAATATGACCAAACAAGAGAAGATGAATGGGATGATAACAAATTAGTTCATGTAGTTATTAAAAATATGTTTGACTTAAAGAAGGTTTGTTTTAACAAAAAATATTGTTATAGAAAGACAAATTAATAGGTAATAGCCAAAAGATGAACAATTTTTCAATGAGTTGAAAGAAGATGTTGAAGAAGAAGTGAAGGCTAAATGTGGAAGTGTTGAAAAAGTGACTGTGTTTAATACAAATCCAGAGGGAATAGTTATTATTAAATTTAAAGACCATAGTGCTGCTGAGCAATGTGTTGCCTTAATGAATGGTAGATGGTTTGATAAACATCAATTAAGTTGTGATTATTATGATGGATATACCAATTACAAAGTAGAAGAAACCGAAGAACAGAAACGAGAAAGAATAGCACGCTGGGAAGAGTATTTAGGAGGAAGTGATGATTAACAATCTTGTTATTTTTGTGATATCATTAGTTTCATCATTTTAGATTGTCTTGTCACATAACGAAAAATAATAAAAAAAGAAAAAGTATACAAAACAAAATCAATCACTGAGCCCGAACACCATCAAGAATTTTGAAATCGGAATTAACTACAACAGCATATAAATTGCGACTATTTTCAGGAGATGAAATCATCCATTTTTTAAAACTAGACTTTCTTTGTCTTAAATGACCAAAGTCAGATGCTTCAAAAGGTCGAATAAATTGACCAAGTTCATTGACCATAACAATATAAACAATTGTTCCATTTAAAGTATATGGTGTTTGTTTCCATTTTTCACTAAAAACAATACTATCAGAAACAATAGAACTTGACTCAGAAGTAGGTCTTGAAGAGATTGTTGGATTCTTCTCTACTTTTTTTGGTTTAGTTAAAGATTTCGATTTTTTAGTTAAAGCCCGTATATTAGTATTCATGAAAGTGTTCAAAAGGCTCATAATAAAATGAAATTAAACAGTTTTTTTACGATTGAGGTTTTTATGTTGTTTCCCACGTCATTGACTTTAACTTCATAACATTTTTATGAGGTAAAAAGTGTTTTTCTAAGAACATTAACAAGTAAAAAAGAGTAACATCAATTGCAACTCACAGCAAAAAAAAAAATCAAAAAGGACTTTGAATTTTAAATGGGAAATTCAATTCCTTTCAGCACAGGTACTATTCAAATAGAAAAAAAAATTGGTGAAGGTGGTTTTAGTCAGGTATATGTTGGAAAAGATCATTTTGAAAGAAAAGTAGCCGTTAAAGTAATGGGATTTAGTTCAAAAGATACTTTACAAAGAATAGAAAATGAGATTAAAATACATAAGATTGCAAGTGAAAGTCCTTTTGTAATAAAATTGCTTGAGTTTGTTTTGTTAAATGATTTATAATATTCTTAGTCTTATGTTTAGTTCTATTATTCTTCAGCAACAACATCAAATTGCTATTGCAATGGAGTTTTGTAGTGGAACTCTTGTTAATGAAATGGAACATTGTTATCCATCAACAATTGGAACAAATAAAATAAGAGATGTAATGTTATGTGTAAGTGGTTCATTAGCTTATTTACATAGTAAAGGTTATTGTCATCGTGACATCAAAATTGAAAATGTATTAATTTTTAACGGAGAATATAAACTCACTGATTTTGGTAGTGCTATTCCTACATCTACTTATCTTACTCGTAAACAAGGTGATGCTAGTGAAGTTGAAGAAGATATAGAAAAACATACAACTCCTGAATATCGATCTCCTGAAATGGTAAAAGTGTATAGTTATAATACAATTGGAGATAAAGCTGATGTTTGGGCAGCAGGATGTTTATTGTACAAATTAGAATTTTTTGTTACTCCTTTTGATGGTAGTCCAATGAAAATTATAAGAGGAAGCTATGGCTTACCCAAACCAATTGAAGATACTGAAAAAAGTTGGTTGGAAAATACTCTTGAAGTTGACCAAAATAAAAGGTGGAATTCTCAAGATCTTTTCAATGCTGTTAACACAAATTCTGTTGTACCTAAACAACATCTAAAAGAACAAATTACAATAACTGAGAAACAAGTCTCCAAACAACCAAATGACACTAATAATGATGCTAACAAAACAATGTTTATTAGAAGAAGAAGTTCTTTTGGGTCTTCTACATCAAAAACTAGAGTAATGGGTATTACTGAAAAAACACAAAAAGAAAAGCCTTTAATTAGTTTTGATCATCAAAAAGAAATAGACAAATCGTCTATTGTTAGAAATATTTGTTCATTATATGACCAACCTAAAACTCCTATTCAACCATCTCCATCTCCTGTTTTTGACTCATCAATATTACAAAATTCAATAAATCAAGATAAAAAGGATTATATGTCATTATACAATCTTTCTGCTCCATATAATAATTATGAAAATCCATTAAGTTTTAGTCCTAATCAGTCTTGTGGTTATTATAATGGAAGTATTACTCCAAATAATTGGTATCCTCAACAATTATATCAGCCTCACCCTGGAACATGTCCAGTAACACCACCTTCTCAATCAAAAAGAAATATACCAAATTTATATTCTCCAGAAATTCCTGTTGTTGTACAACCACCAGAAAAAGTTGATATTTTTGCACAACTTGATACAAAACCAAAACGAGGACTTCATAGAACAACTTCAAGTTCTTCTAATATTTTTTCATTTGATGAAAATGCATTTTAAACTGACTTAAAGATATTTTTAATGATAATTAATTGATAAAATTCATTCAGTTGCAAGTATTTTATCGGCATGATCCAATAAATAAGTAAAGAATAAACTAATATTCTTTGCTTTAGAAATAGCTTCAATGTTAGTAATTTCACTCCAATAAATACAAGGACCGAACATAATTCCCATATTTGAAGTTGACATTTTATTTTCACTAACATGATTACAAATTATCTTTCCTAACACAACAAGATGATATAATAATGATTTATTTTCTTCTGGTAATTTTTTAATGATTGAATTTATTTTATCTTCAGTTATCATTGTGTCATTTTTAAATAATTCCGCAATTTCATCTCCAATTTGATAAGTTAATAAAGGTGTTGGCAATGAACGTAAATAATGTTTTAATAATGAACAAACAACATGAGGATCTTCATCTTCTTCAAATTCACTACGAATTCCACAATTAAATTCTTTAATTAATTGTTCTAATCTTTGTTTAGAACCAGCCATTCTAAAAATTCCTTCTATTGAAATAACTTCTACTTTAGATGAAAAGTACATAATAGCACATTCAATAATTAATGGAGCAGTTGTTGAACCTCTAAATGGATGATGAACAGCTTCTGACAAAGGAATACCAAAAATAGGATGTTGAGTAGCTAAAGATTCCACAAAATCATGAGGAATAGAAATTGTTCCCATTGGAATGTCTTTAAAAAATTCAAATAAATCTTTTACTATTACAAATTTATTTAAATCATCAGACTTTATAAAATTAATTTGTTTTAAAGAAATTGAAGGAGAGATAAATGAATAAATTTTATAAATATTACTTTTTATTTGATTTGGAAGTTTTAAATATAACATTTCAAAAATACCATAAGGAATTTGATTCATATTATTAATATAAATAATAACAAATTCTTTTTGATAAATAAATTGTAATGACTTTAAAACAAAGAAGTAAAATTTTTGTGGAAAGTTTGGAGTATTATCAATTAATACATTTTGATTGAATATTATAATATGTCGATGTTTCCTATCAAACCCTTTGTTTATTATTATTTGTGAATTAAATTCTTCAAAATTCATTTCATTTGCTTTTTTAATTTCACGTTGTAATCGAATATCATCTTCTTCAAATACTTCATTATCACTTGGAAAAAAACAATCTTCATATTCTAATTCAAATATTGTTTTCTTTTTTTTTTTATAAAATTCAAATACTTGTTTCTTTTTTGAATTTAATTGACTTTCATCAATTAATATCGGTGGTGATATACTACATTTTAATTCTTCTTTTAATTCATTTTTCTTTTCTTCTTTTTCAAATAATATTTCTATTTCATCACTACTTTTGACTCTTTCTTTATCTATTTTGTTTGTTTTTGATGTTAATGGTTGAGTTTCATAATTATCAATGAGGGTTTTATCTAATTCCATTCTTCTTTGTTTGTTTCTTTTTTTTTATATATCAAATTTATTTTGTTTTTACTTTTTTTTTTATTATATAACAACTATATTTAGAAACAATGAAAATTAAGATTATAATAGAACTAAAAAATTTGAATGAACCAATAAAGATAAATAAAATGATATATTTAGAAGTAATACTTAAAATAGAACATCAAAGAACTATAAAAGGGACTTAAAAAAAAAGTATTTGATTATTTTTATTTTATGGGATTACTTTGCATTTTTATTATTGGTATATTAGCTTATCTTGGCTATCTTATTTATAAGAAAGAATTAACATGGCCTATTGAAGATTCAATTATTTACAAAAAAGTATTAGTTATGATTGAACAAGCAAATGCCACAATTAAAGAAAAACAAAAACATCTTAAAACTGATGAAATTACTTCTCCTAAAACAGAAAAAACTCAAACAGAAATTAAAACAAAGTCTGATGATAATGTAGTTCATGTACCAAAACCAAAAGGAGATGAACCAGTTATAGAAGATAGACCAAATGGTAAGAAAGAAGTTGTTTCTGGTGATAAAAGTATTTTGATTGATAGAATTAAATCAAAGCACTTTGATTCAGTTGATCAAAAATTTAATGAAGCTACTCAATTAAGAGAGAAATACATCAAAGCTAAAGATGCTAAATCACCAGAAAAGAATGAATTATTTGAAAAATATGAAGCTACTAGAAAAGAGGCAGAAGAAATGAAAAAGAAAGCAACTATTGCTATTTTTGAAGAAGTAAATATTTATATGGTTGATGAAGATGCTATTGACTTACATGGTCTTCAAATAGATGGAGCTCTTGATATGGTTAAAGATCAAATTAATAAAAGAAAAACAGCTGGAAAGTCAATTGTTAAAGTTCAATGTGGAATGGGACATCATAATACTGTTGGATTCTCTAAAATTAAAGAGGCTGTAGTTAAATATTGTCAAGATGAAAAGTTATCATTTACAGAAGATAAAGAACATGGATTTGTAAACATTTCATTATAACTCATTTTAATTTAACTGCTTTTTGACTTTACTATTTATTTGTTTTATATATCAAAAAATAAAAAATAAAAGAATTGAGTAAAAACAAAAATCTTAAAAATAAGAAAGAGGAAATTAATGATTGCTCAACGTAAAAAAAAAGAGGGAAATCAATTAACACTTCAAGACACTATCAACAGACAACAAAGTCTTCTTAATAAAGATAAAATAACAATAGAACATTTTCTTACAACATATGTATTATCAGATGGATCAACATATAAAAGTAGATTAGAACAAATAAATATTCAAAGAGATGGTAATTTTACAATTTTTCTTGATGATGTAAAGGATTATTTATTTTTAAATGACAACCAAATTAAAGACAAAAAGATTCTTGACAGAATAGAAAATAATGCAGCTCGATATTTAAATATTTTTAAAGAAGTTATTTATACATTACTTCCATCTCGTGTTGGACTTGATCCTTCTTCATTAGATTCAGTTGATGTTTTAACTATTCAAAGGGAAACAAAGAATTTAAGTTTTCCATTAGAATTAAAAGCAAAATTTGAAACATTTATTAGACCAAGAAAAAATCAAGAAATTACTCCAATAAGAGAATTAAGAGCTGAAAAAATAGGTAAATTAGTTCGAGTTAAAGGTATTGTTACTCGTGCAACTGACGTTAGACCATTAGCACGAGTTATTACTTATTCTTGTGAACAATGTGGTAATGAATTATATCAAACAATCATTGGTAACAGATTTTTACCTCAATATAAATGTCCTTCAAAGACTTGTCAAAAAGGAAATAAAACAGGTACATTATTAATGCAACCTCGTGCATCAAAATTTGTTAAAATTCAAGAAATTAGAATTCAAGAATTAGTTGAAGAAGTTCCTATGGGAGCAACTCCACGTAATTTGATTGTTAAAGTAGAAGGACCATTGGTTCAATTATGTGCACCAGGAGATGTTGTTACAATAGAAGGTATTTATCTTCCAGATGAATTTTTTTCAAGAAAAGATATGCATATTGGATTTATTAGTAATACTTTTATGAAAGCAATGTCCATTGAAAAACAAAAAAAGAATTACACAACATACACACTTTCTTCTGAAATTAAAACTCGAATTAGTGATGAAGTAAAAGATTTTCCATTTGAAGAAATTTATAATAACTTAGCACTCTCTATAGCTCCTGAAATTTACGGTTTAGAAGATTTAAAGAAAGCCTTATTACTTACTGTAGTTGGTGCACCAACTAGAAGAATGAAAGATGGTGTTAGCATTAGAGGTGATATTAATACATTATTAGTTGGTGAACCTGGTATTGCTAAGTCTCAATTATTAAGGGCTGTTGCTGGTGTTGCTCCAAGAAGTGTTTATACTACTGGAAAAGGGTCATCAGGAGCTGGTTTAACAGCGGCAGTTATAAGAGATCAATTAACTAAAGAATGGGTATTAGAAGGAGGGGCATTAGTTTTAGCAGATATGGGTATTTGTTGTATTGATGAATTTGATAAAATGGATGAAACTGATAGAACAGCTATTTATGAAGTAATGGAACAACAATCAATTTCTATTGCTAAAGCAGGAATTACAACTAGTTTAAATGCAAGAGTGAGTATTGTTGCAGCCGCTAATCCTATAAAAGCAAGATATGATATCAGAAAATCTGTATCAGAAAATGTTAATTTACCAGCAGCATTGGTATCTCGTTTTGATTTATTATTTGTATTACTTGATGATGCTACACAAGATTTTGATAAAGAACTTGCATTATTTGTTTGTAAATCACATAGAGGAGAAGTTGGAGAAAGTAAAGCAATTTATGATGTTGAATTTTTAAGGGCATTTATTGGAAATGCAAAGAATTTTAATCCAATAGTTCCTGAGACATTAACAGATTACATAGTTGATAGTTATGTTAAAAAGAGGTCAAAACCTAAAAATAAGTTAGATGATTTAATTATTACTCCAAGAAGTCTTCTTGCTATTATTCGTTTAGCACAATCGGTAGCACGACTAAGATTTAGTAATGAAGTAAATAGTCAAGATGTTGATGAAGCATTAAGATTGATTGATGTTTCACGATCATCTATAGATAAATTCCAAGTAGGATTAAATTTGATTGACCCTACTAATACAAATGATATTGATCAACTATTAGATGAGTTTGAATCAAAAAGTGAAAATGAACAATGACTAAATTAAAATGAAACAAATATTTATTGTTGACTTTTTTGAGGTGGAACACTAGAAATAATTGATACTTTCTTTTTCTTCTGAATCTTACCCTCTTTTCTCTTTTTAATTGTAGTTAATGCCTCTTCATAATCAGACTCTTCTTCTTCTTCAATATTAACATCTTTATTTAAAAATTCATTAATTTTTGATTGATCAATTTCACCAAGGAAGGAGTGTGTTAGTAAAGGATTTGACATAATCTTTAAATTAGTTTTTATTTTCTTATATAAAATAATATTAATTAATTTTATTATTTTAATATAATACAAATACCATAATAATTATATATTAGCTTATAATATTCAATAACCTAAATTAAAAAAATTAAATAATGTAATGATGAGATTTTACCATGCACCACTCAGAATTATCTACCCAAAGATAAGTTGTGTTGATTATGGTGTCTGAACATTTTTATTTATTTTTTTCATAATATTTCATAAAGTCATAAAAGACAAAAAAAAATTAATCAAATAAAAAAAACATGAGCATTAATGAAATTAATAATCAATTAAGTTGAAATTTGGTAATTCGTATTGATTAGCAGTACCTCTAAATGAAATTTCTTTTTCAGTTGCACGAGACCGATTATGTTTATTAAATCGTTTTCCAGCTAACATAGAAATAAATGAAATAATCCAAATAACTAATCCAACAGCACATGATAGACAAGTCGTAACAAAAGTATAAGTATGAAGGTCTTTTGTACACATAAAACTCATAACATTAAAAAGATAATTTTCAAATGGTTCTCCATGTCTTAAACTCTCTAATGGTCCTTTAACACAACTGTTAATAGCATCTATAGTTGAATAATAATCACCATATTCTTTTGCAACCTTTTTATTAGCTGAGTCACAATATTGGGCACATGAAGTATATGAATATAATATTGTTGTATTATGAATAAATGGAACATTTCTATAATCATCATAATTACTAACCGTCAAGGAGTCAGCAGGGAATGAATTACATAATAACTCTTTTCCACAATGTTCTTCTAAAAACAATTTCATTTTAGAAATAGTTTCTGGTAACAACTTATCTTCAAATAACCCAATCATTTGAGTAACTGAAGGATCATTTACTGGAAAATAATATAAAACAACACTTTGAGTCTCATAACTATCAGAATTTAATATCTTATCTCCAACTAAACAAGCATCAGCTACAGCAATATCCATAGGATATGTTACAGAAGCGGCAATAATAAAAACAGCAGCAAGTAACCATCCAAAGATAGACAATCCACTTGCCATTTGATAATGAAATGTACATGCTGCAAATAATAAAAGACCTAACATGAAAGAGGTAATATAAATGGCAAATAATTCTAGTCCTTCTCTAGAGCGATTATATTCTTTTACATAATCACTAAGACTACCAACACCTTTTTCTACTCCATCTTTGATATATGACATCATTTTAATCTTATTGTCAAAATCTTGTTTTTGAGACTCAAAAGGCATATCATTAAATGCGCTCTGAATAATTCTAATATTTCTATCAACTGAATCAACAGTATTATCACTTGAAGTTCTAACTGCATTTATCTTTGCTCTAATTGATGCATTATACATTATCAATAAAAGTATAAGAATAATAGAAATAATAAAACAACCAATAATAATAATTTGACACCATTTTACATGAATATATGAATATCCTTCTCCAGATGCCTTTTTAAATGGCTTTGGACAGAAACACCCTTGTGTGCCTCGAACTCCTCCTAAACATGGACGTGCCAAATACCATAAAAATGAAATAACAACAACAGCACATGCCATTACTAAAAACCACCATCCTTCAAGAATTAAAGCATCCTCATATTGATTATAATTCATTTTAGTTTCATCATATATTTGTGAACTTGATTTTGAAGGAAATGGAACTGCAGCAAATTGGAAATTATCAACAGTTGTTTTTGTCCAGTCATTTGAAAAAAATAATGTTCGTTTATGTTCAGTTTTCGTTTTAAAATAATCTCGGTTTTCATCAGATAAAGGAGATTTTGCTAAAGAGGTAATAACAAATAATAAGATGATGTAAATCATATACTTATAATTTGAGTTCTTTTCATGAGACTTTTTTAATTAAATTGTTTTGTTCATTAGAAATGACAATAAATTAATAAAATTATTGTATAAAATATTTTATTAATTTACGACTCATAGTTATTTCAGTTAAGTAAATTTGAAAATGCTTGATAGTATTTTTAATAAATAATTATTTATTAATAATAATTAAATAAAATTATTTATTTATATATTTAAAAATATTTAATTTTAGAAATAACAAAAAAAAATTAATTATTGTTTTTTATCTTTAATACCTAATTTTTTTTGTTTTAATCTCCAAGTTTGTTTCATTGCATCTTTAAAGAATGATGAATTTATTGGACTACTTTTCTTTGCCATTTTTAATGCCTCTTTATCTCTTTCAATACTATTTTCAAAACGTAATTTTTTAACAAGTAAAGCATCTTTTCTTAATTGTCTCATTTCAGTTTCAATTCTCTTTTTTCTTAATTCCCTTTTTTCTTTTTCTATTTTCGCTTTAATTTTTGATGCTACACGTTCAGCTTCAATGTCTAAAGCTTTACGAATATCCATTTTTTTAACTTTAACTATATTATTTTGTTTACATAATAAATCTAAGTCTGAATAAATTTTTTGCATTTCAACTCCTTCATTTACTTTCTTAATTAATTCTTTTTGAATTGTTTTCTCGTTTATTTGTGCAAATGCACCAATAATGACAATCAAAAACACCAACAACATTATGATTTTTTAGTTCAATAAAATAAAAGAAATTAATTTCTTATATTATAAACAATATTCATTTATGAAATTGATTATTTCTTTACTGAATCTTTATTATGTTGAGCTAAATCTTTGTATTTTTTTCTTTCATCTTCAGACATTGCCTTCCACATATTACTAAGATATTTCATTATTTCATTCCCTGTATGACCTTCTGCTTTAACTCTATCTCTATTTTCTTTACAAAATAATAAATAGGGATGATATTCTTCTTTTCGTTTTGTAATATCTCCTTTCTTTCTTTTTCCATAAGTACCATCTTCATTTAATAAATGACATTCAATTGATGCAACTTTATAAAATTTTTGCATTTTATCTTCATCTAATTTTGACCATTTGGCTGTTGCTTTGGCTTTTGCTTTTTCAGGTGTTAATAATCGTTCATTAATTAATTTCTTAGTTTTCCAACGAATATATATGGCTTGTGCTATTTCTATTTTTTCTTGTTCTTGACTTTCTTCTCGTTCTCTTAATGTCATTTTATGATGTTCTTCCTTTTCTTGTATTTGTGACATATGTTTACTTTAATTAGATCTTACTCCTTTTACATGAGTTTTCTAACTTCTTTTATGTAAAAATTATTTTTCTTATTTTTAACCCTAAATAGAGGTTTAATTTCCTATTCTTTTTCTCTTTTCAATCACAAAAATTAGTAAACTTAAAATAATTTATACAAAGAAAAAACAAAAAAAAAGAACTTAAAAGGAGAAAGTTTACCATTTTTGAATGAGTCTAAAAGTAGAAGATTATTTTGATGTGAAGGTGAAAGAACTAATAATAATAGGAGATTTAAGACAAAAAACTTTGAACTAAAAAAATTGTTAATTCTCAATTAATTACACATGCCTCTTATTAAAATTAAAGTTGAATGGAACGGATCAAATAAAGTATTAAACCTTGATAGATCCCATGCAAATTTATATGGAAGATTAATGATGGAACTTGAACAAAAAATTGAAGAAGAATTCTTATTATTTTCAGGTCCATTAATTGTTAGTGATGAAGATTCTCTTGTTGCTGCTATTGAAGATTGTGTTAATGCACATCAACCTTTCCTTCAATTAGTTGCTCGTCCAAATAAATCAAAGAAATCAACACCATCAACTCCAGCTAAACCAGTTGCTACTCCAACCACTTCTTCTCAACCACAATCTAAACCAGTTACTACTCCAACTAAATCTACAGAGCCACAATCTAAACCAGTTAGTGGAGCTAAGTTCTGTCCAAATTGTGGAACAAGTATTAATGGAAGTAAATTCTGTCCAAATTGTGGAGAAAAAATTATTGAATCAAATCCAACAAGTGCACCAACTGCACAAAAGAAAGAAGAAAGTAAACAAGAAGAACAAAAGAAAGAAGAAAATAAACAAGAAAAACCAAAAGAAAATACCAAAAAAGAAGAACCAAAAGAAGAACATTCATGTAAAAATGCTTGTCATCCAATAACTGAAAAAGGAGATAAAGACCATTGTGGTAAATGTGGAAAAGAAGTTTCAAGTGGAGTAATGGCACTTGATAGAATATGGCATGAAGAATGTTTTGTTTGTAATGAATGTGGAGAGCATTTTGGAGGAGAACATAAATTAATGGAAATTGAAGGAAATCCAGTATGTTCATTATGTTATGTTGCTAATCATGTTCCAAAATGTGAAACATGTGGTAAACCATTAGATGGTCAATATGTTGTAGTTAATGGAAAGAATTATCATCCACAGTGTTTTGTTTGTACCAATTGTGGTGCACCAATTCAAGGGTCTTACATGATTAAAAATGGCAAAATTGTTTGCAAGAATTGTGCCTAAAATTCACATTTTTTTTAGTTTTGTTTTTCAATTTTTTTTCAATTAATAAGAAAAAAAAAGAAATAATAAAAATAATAGTTTAAATATAATAAAATTCTATAAAAGTATTAATAAAAGAATAAAACAAAATATAGTTTTATATCATTCTTAAGAACATGGAAGACATTGAAACAGAAACAATTAAATATTTTTATGCCACCAGTGCATCTATAAGTCCATTTATTGTTGGTGTACTTTTCCTTAATTTTGTATATTTGTTTTTAAGAATGCCATTTCATTCTTTTATGTTTCATTTACATTTATTATTATTTTGTGGGTGTTTTATATTGAAAATAGCTATTTATTTTGTGCAACCATTTTTAAAATCATATTTATTTTGGACATCACAAACATTATTATATTGTGGGTTAACATATACTATTTATTCTATTGTATATATATTTTTTACTCAAAGTAATAAAAAGAAATATGTTAATAGTGTTATTTTACCAGGAGGAGTATTTTATTTTATGTTTGTTGTAATGGTACATTCATTATGGTATGAATGGGCAACAACAATTATGTTAGTATATACTGCGTTATTTTGTACTATATTAATGATTGTAATTTTATTATTTATATTTTTTGTAAGATCATTTGGTTCAAAAAGAGTAGTATTATTTGTTGATATTATCTTATTTATTGTAACATTTATTTTATTTATTGATATAATTAGTTGTATTGTATCAGCAATTATTTTATATCCAGGTTGTTTTATTCATCCACTTGTTGATTTAATAAATTCATTGTTAATAACATCATTAGTTGTTATATTAACTGATGGTTTATTATTTTTTAGAGCATTTAGTGGATATAAAGGAATTTTAGTTGATGAAGAAAATACTCTTGTTACTACAAAAACTTCAATTGACATTGAATTTCTTCTTCATAGACAAACAATTAAACAAACTGAACATAGTGTAGTTGGTTCAACTATTTTCCTTGGTAAAACTGTGTCATATAAACAAGTTGCATTAGAAGAATTATTAAATCAAAAAACTTTAAATGATGATTTAATAAAATTAAAGTCACTTCATCATCCTAATCTCCAACAAACAGAAGGAATTTCTATAACTAATTTAAATGTATATGTTATTTATAATCATCACTTTTTACCATCAATGGAATCAATATTTGAAATTAAAGACACATTCAATGATTATCAAATTATACAAATTATGAAAGGATTAACAAGTGCTTTATTAGAACTTCAAGATGAAGGAATTCTTCATTTTCATTTTTCATTATCAAATATTCTTGTTAATGAATCAATGGATAAAGTAATTATTGTTGATTTTTTACCTTATATGAAATGGTGGTTTACAACAGAAAATGGAGAATCACCTTCAACATTAATGTTTGAATCTGAAGATTTTATTGCTTCTCATAAACAATATATCATTAATTTAGTTCATTGGATTTTTTATAGAATGATCATTGGTAAAAATGCTACAAAAGATATTATTCTTGATAATGTTCCTCAGTCTAGTTTATTTTATTCTACTTTGAAACGATGGGTTAATGAATCTAGTTTTATTGGAATCAATGCGATGTCAAATGATATTGCATCACTTAAACACCGTATGCTTGTTGAAGATGAAGAGGTATTTGAACATAATAATGAAGTAAAAGAAACACATCATCTAGAACAAGAAGAATTAGATGAAAATGGTATTATTGTTAATGAATAATTGAACAATTTTTAATACCCAAAAAATAAAATAAAATAATAATAATATTATAATAAAAATATATTTTTATTTCAATTTGAACCAAATGAAAATTTTTTTTTGTAAAAAAAGAAAGAAAAATTCAACTAGAAATCCATTGATAAGAATTGGTTCAATGCAACCAAATAATACTTTTATTAAAATTGAAACTGTTGGTAGTCAAGGAAGTGGAAAAAGTAGTATTATTTATCGCATTATGGTTTGTTTAAAATCAATTTAAAACAATTTAAAATAGTTTATATTTTGTAGAATAAAGAGCCACATCAAGGAATTACTACAATTGGATGTGAAGTTAATTCACTAATTGTAAGTTTTGAAAGAAGATTATGGACTTGCAAATTATGGGATATAGAAGAACGTTTAAGAGAAGCAAGTTTAGCAAAAGGAGTTTCAACACCACCTGATGCATTACTTATTGTTATTGATTTAACTCAATCAACATCACTTGAATGGGCAAGAAATTATATTAATAATAAACTTGGAATAGAAACATTTGGTATGTTAGTTGTTGGTATTGGAAATAAATGCAATGATAAAAAGAAAAATGTTTCATCAAAAGAAGTAAGACAACTCTTTCAACAATATCATTTTGAATATTATGAAACAGATGTAGTTGATAATGTTGGTATTTCTCAAATGTTTTGTGATACTATTCATGCAATTGTCGAACGAAAAATAGAACAAGAACATGAAATTCATCAAGATAATGAAATGCTCAATGAATTTAGTCAATCATTAACATCAGAAGATATAGAAGATTGCAAGGTTGTTTAGATTAGATAACAAACAAATAATATTAAGGTGTGTATTAATAATAAAAAATAATTATTGATTTTATTTATTGATTATTCTTGTTTTTTAATGTTAGTTAGAATTCATTTAACTTGACTAACTTCTTAAATACAATGTTTTTTTAATTAGAGTACAACTTTTGGAGTTGAGAAATAACTTCTTCTACAGTCATTCGTTTATTTGGTTCATCAGCCCAACATCTCTGAATAATTTTATATTCTTCATTATTTATTTTATCAGTCTTTAACAGTCTTTTTCCATTTGTAATAAATTCAGCTATACTCCATGAATATTCAAATTGAGGAGTAGCATAAGGTGGTTTCCAATTTAATATTTCATACATTGTAATAGCAAAAGCAAAAATATCAGCTGGTTTTTTATAACTTTTAGTATTTAATATTTCTGGGGCTGTATATGCAGGTGTTCCAATTCCTTTTGTGAATGTTAAATTTGTTAATAACATATTAACACTTCTTGATGACCCAAAGTCTGTTAATTTTGCATTAATTGGTATTATTTCTTCTAAAGAAAATAATAATATATTATCCGATTTAATATCTCTATGTAAAATTCCATTAGAATGAAGGTATTGAATACCATGTGCAGTGTCTAATAAACATTTATATTTAAATTTTTTACTAAAAGTATCAGGTTGATTTAAAATAAGATTATGAAAACTACCATATGGTGCTAATTCAGTAACAACCATAAAATTTGAATAATTAATAACTGATCCATAGAAATAAACAATATAATCACAGCGAAATTGGTTAAGTAATTGTGTTTCTTTAAAGAATTGTTCAGTTTCATTCACGTCTAAAAATATATTTTTAATTTTTTTAATTGCAACTTGATGTCTTTTATATAATCCTTTATACACAATTCCTGTTGATCCTTCACCAATTTGTTCAAATTGGTTTAAATCATCTCCATTAATATAACATGAATGTTGAGTAATAAATGATAATTTTATAGAACAACATTTTGATTTAGATACTGTTTTTTTATTAACACGCACGTTAATAGTAGATTCTTCTTCTAATGTACAACAAGGAAAGATATAAACTTTAATTTTACACATCTTCTTTGGTTTAAGGTTAACAACTGCTGGTTTAAATTTTATTTTATATTTATTATTTTTGATTGGAATTGGTTGGACTATAAGTGGATATTTTCCAGAATTACCAATATGAATAGATTCAACAGAAATACTTCTGACAGGAATTGGGTTATTAAAAGAATCGAAATTTATTTCATTTAAGTCACATACAACAAAATTATCTAAATGATATTGTAATACTTTTGTTTTAGGCATATTTTCTAAAGTATACTTTAATTTGTTTTTCTTTAATATTCTAAACCTTAAAAGAGTCAGAGATACTATAATAGAAGTAAAAATACCCAAGCAACAGATGACTCCTATTATAATTAATGTTAAAGTCCATAATGGAAGTGAAAAATTAGAACAATACGTATCATCTATTACAGTATGTCCAAACGAACATTTAGTACAACGAGAATTTTCTGCTTTGATACAATATGGTATTTTACTATAATAAATACATCTTCCTGAATACCAAACAGTTTCATTAGCACATTTATTACAAGTAAATCTATCAGTACATGATACACATGAATCTAAACAATTTTCACAAATATTATTATTCAGATAATAACCATCAGTACATTTAGAACAACCTTTTTCTGTTATTTCTACTGCACACCCTTGGATAGTTGATTTAGGGACACATACTTTATCACTATTTTTAAAATTAGTTGAATTACAAGTTAAACAACCATTTGCGTTATTACATGTTGAGCAAGAAATATCACAATTAATACATGAAACTCCATCTCTATAATATCCATTTTTACATTTTACACATTTACCATTAATAGAATAGAATGCACATCGTTCAGAAATAATTGAATCTGTTTCACACATATGATTTGTTAAATAATATCCAGAATCACAACTAAAACATTTATTTTTCTCTAAAAGGCATGTTCTGCAATTAGAGTCACATGGCTTACATACTCCTTCAGAGGCATAATATGAATTTTCACACCTAAGACAACCCACTTGAGTATTAGTTTCACAGTTTTGAATAGATTTATAACATTGACCATTAAGAAGAACAAAACCTGGTTGACAAATTATACATTCTTTTGTTGAAATAGCTCTAATTTGACAATTTTCAATTTTCTCTTCACAATAACCAATAATATTTGTAGAATAATTATCAACACAAATACTACATTTCCCATTTTCTTGTTTTTGGCAATAAGGAATTCTACATGTCCCATCTTTTTGAAGAGGAGTTTCATCACTACATCTTTCACATTTAGTTGCTGAACATTGAGAACATTGATTTCCAAATTGTTTACATGAAATACACATTCCATTTAATTCATAATATCCATCCTCACATTGAATAATTGAATTTGTTCTAACAATTAATGAATGTTCTGCAATAGAACAACTATTATCATTTAAAATATAATGAAGATTTCCATTGCATTGATAACATTTTGATTCATATGATAAAACACAAGGATCATTACTATCATAATCAATACACATATTATTTAAAACTCTTCCTTGTTCACAATAAACCAAATGGTTATTTGTTGAATGAGACTTATCATTTAACATAACACAAATACCATCTTTTGATAATAAATAGTCATTAGCACACACAAAACACATTTTATTATTACACCATTTACAATGAATATCGACACATGGAAGACATGAAGTAAAATCAGAATTAGGATAAGTGAAAGAAGGACATTGAATACTAGCTTTTCTAAGACAAATATTTTGATTATTTTTACTAATACCAAAAAGACAAAATGAGTTTGAGTCAGTAGTTTTATATCCATTAAGTGAAAGAAGAAGAATTGGAAAGATAGAATTAATATCTAAAACATAATTAGTAAATAAATCTCCCATATAAATAATAAATGACTCTTTTGTATATAAAGTAAATGACATTCCACTAACAGAAAAAGTTGAAGTTGTTAATAAAGTTTTTTCATAAGAAGGGAAACTTACAGTATCATCTAAGAGAATATAATAACCATTTTGGTCACGAGTAATTTGTTGAATAACTAAATCTGTTGAATTTGATTGAAAAGAAACCATTCCAGGGAAATGAGCGATTTGAGATTGACAAGTAATACTAATAAGATTATCGTTTTCTTCAAAATATAAATTTGTTATAAAGTTATTAATTTTTGTTGTAATTGGTACATTTGGAAAATAAAGTTCTTTAACAGAAGTATTAATAGAACAATCAGAACCAAAACATGGACAATCTATTTGAGTAAAAGGATATTCTAATTGATAATCATATGAGTTTTTCCAATATGTACCATTAAGTGTACATATAACATGTTTATTAAATATAAAATTTGGACAATATCTAATTCTTTTTTTATTGTTAATAAGTTTTAAATGATTTGTTTCAATAAAAGTATCAGAAATTGTAGAACTACTTATAATAAATTCAAAACAATAATCAAATGCATAATCAATCAATACTGAAGTAAACATTAATTTAGTATTATATAATCTCCATAATTCACTACCTTTTAACGTAGAAATAATAAAATGTGTATTTTCTTGTATATCTAATATACTTTGACTAAGACAATCATTTTTAACGCCAACAGTAAAAAATGATTCTTCGATGGAAATTGGTGATTTTGTATGAATTACACATTGACTTAAAATTTCTGTTGATGAATCTTTCATTGAGATAAATGAATTTTGAAATGACTTAAAAGTGTCGATTCCAATAAAGTTAGTGTCAACTAAAAGGAGTTGAAAAGAGTCTGATATTATAACAAATGTAGAACGAATAGAATTATGTTTACTATCGATTATACCTTTATCATGTCCTTCGATAGAATTTAAAGAAATAGAAGAATCAGAAAGAAATAACGTTGAATTGTCATAAATAGACAGACTTGCAAATAAAGAAGATGAACTTTTAATACGAAATATACTTGAATTATAAAGAATAACATTCATCAATGGTTCAGTAGAAATTATTACGTTATTAAATAATAATTGTGAGTCATTAAATAATATAATTTGTCCACTTTTTTGTGAAATAAAATAAGAGTCTTCTAATAAAATTTTGGTTCTGTTTTTAAGAATAACTTTTGGCGTTGTAAAATAACAATGTTGTGATACTTCCATAATACTATCGTCATTAAGTTGTAATCCTGTAGACGATGTAACTTGACTATTATCTTTCATTATTAACTTTGAAAAATTATAAAGGCAAAATGACTTACTAGTATGCATTTTAGAATTTTCACCAATAATAACTGATGATGTACCAAAAGCGTTAAAATATATTGCATTACTAATAGATGCTTGTTCTTCAAGAAAAATAGTAGAACTGTTATAAATTGTAACGTTACTTCTAAAACATAATAATTTTCCATGTCGAAGAGTTAATATTGAATTATCATATAATTCTAAATGAGCGTTATTAAATAATAAATCTCCATCTGTATTTAAAAAATATGATTTGATAAGTACTAATGATGTTAATTGTCTAATTCCTGGAGAGTTTAATGTGAATAATGTTGATTGAGTTAATTTTATTTGAGAAATATAAAAGAGTGAATTTTCAAGCATATGAATTGTAGAATTATAACTAATCAATTTACCTGTTGATACATTTTCAACTACAATTTGTGCATCATGAATTGTTAAATTTGAATTATTTATTGTTAACGTTTCTTTAACGGTAAAAACTTGAGAATTTTGAAGAATGATATTTGCATTTATTAGCGTTAATGCATTATCAAAAGTTAATTGACAATACTTATTTAAATGAATATTATCGCTACTAAATATTGAGTAATCTCCTCGTATAAGTACTGTACTATATTCTTCAAATATCAAAATTTCTCCATTATCAAGAGCTCCATGTTCAATAGTAAAAGAAAGAATATCACTAATAAAAATTGTTGGAATAATATTAAATTGTTCTGAACAAGTTCTAGAATAAATAAAATTTTGTTTCACAGAAATTTCACGACAATTTATTGGTTGAGTTGGTTCTCCAAATTCGTCTATATATCCATCAAGACAATTTTCTGCTATAGGAATACACAACCTCTCAGCGTTAGAATATAAAACAAAAAGTAGTAAAAGGAACATCTTGAATGTCATTTTAGTGTTTAAAATTAGAAGATAGTTCTATTAAAAGAATTCTTAAAAAAACCATAAATTCTTTTTCTTCTGTTGGTGTCTTGATCCTCTTAGTTATTTCTTTGTTAAACTGTTTTATATCTTTCTTGGTGTTCCACTTATATTCTCCATTACTTTTAAAAGAATAAAACTAAAATTAATTATTATTTCTTCATTCATCAATTGACTTCCATAAATAAAAAATACAAATCCGTTGTTGTAATATATTTTATTTGTTGTTTTGTTTCAACCAAAACCTTATTTTCATTTTGAACTAATTTTACTTTGTTATTTGTCAAATCTTCACGTTAAACACTTTTTGTAATTAATAATGAGATACATAACAAATATAAAATTGAGGAATTTTTATTAAAAAGAACTTGAAATAGAAAAGACAATTTATAAAAAGAATAGAAATGGGTGAAGATGCATTGGCATTAAAGATATTAGAATCAATAGGAAAAGCCAATGAGATTTTTTTTAGTGAGAAAGACCTCCAAGGATTTGGAAAAATCACAAACCATAGAATAAATGAGTTTAAAAAAAGCCTTCAAATTTTAGAAGATGCTAAAGTAATTCAGAAGATTACAAGCCATGATGAAGTTTATTATATTCCCCCAAAAGAAAAAAAACCTTCTCAAGGAGCAATGAGAAAGTCTACTTCATCAACAAAAGGTAGACTACGTGTATCTGTTACACCATCATGTAAATATAAATTAAACAGTCAATCAACTATTGACGACTTACCAAAAGACATTAATGAATTAAAGTTATTAAAAGTTGAATTAATTTGTAAGTATCAAAAAACACAAAAACAACTAAAAGCAATGGAAGCAAAAGCAAAAAGTGCAAAGAAATGTGAAGGAAAAAATCTGGATCAGTTGATTAAGAAAGTTTGTTTATTTTTTTCTGTTTAGAAAAAAATGTATAATGAGTGAATAGTGGAAAACTATATCTCGAGATTTATTAGTTGATATTCAACATAACGAAATGTGTAGAAACGAAAATGGTGATCAATTTTCAATGGGAGAGTTGATCAAACGACTTGATATTGATTCTAGAGTGATTGGTTTTGATCCAGAAGCAGATGAATTTGTTGATGATTAATTAATATGTGGTTGTTGTGATTTTTTTTTAAAAAAAGAACTTTAAAATTTATTTTAATGGAACAAATATCTGAAACCATAGATTTAACTGATGACCATATTGATATTATTGATGTAGACATACTCAGAGAACCAGTTCAGAGAAGAAGGTTTGAATTAAACATTGATCCATTATATATTAAAGAAAGTTACAAACGAAAAGGTTATAGTAGTGATGAAGAATCTGAAGAACAAATAAAAATAGAACATGGGAAAATTGAAGAGTTAAAACCAACAAAAGAGTTAGAAGGAATTAGATGTCCTATTTGTTTTGATCTTACAAGAAATGTAATGACAACAAAGTGTGGTCATTTATATTGTTCAGATTGTCTTAATATTATTTTTGATACTCCAGGAATACATTATTGTCCTATATGTAAACAAAAAATAATTAAAAATTCATGTCATCGTATTTTTCTATTATAATAGTAAATTAATAATGAGGGATTACTACACTAATTGACTGAATTTTCATTGGTCTTTGAAAAAAGCTCAAAAATGAAGCATTGTAATAGACAGTATTGATTATTGTACTTAATTTTAATATAAAAGAATTTGTAATCCAAAATGCTCCATAAACAGATAAGAGTAATGAAGTATTGTAATGTAATTTACTATATGTAACATCATTTATTAAAGGAAGTTGTTGTTTTGGATAAATTAATTTTGTTTTGTCAGGGTCAAGAATAAATATATTATCTACTTTAAGATTAAGAATAGATGGCTGATTATGAAAACTAATTCCTATAACTTTTCTATTTTCCAAAAGGCAAAAGAGAATAATATCTTGTTTAAATTGAATAACCGAATTTAATTGTCTCTGACTCAATTCATCTTTTTGTGAATAATAAATTACTTCAAATGAACTTGTTTGAAACAACGCTTCTAGTCTAATTCTTTTAAAATCACAATAAAATGGTAAGCCAAAGTCATCTACCTGGTCTTCTTTTATTTTTTGTTGAAAAGAACTTGCTTTGTTATACTTTTTCTTGACAAGAGTTGTCAGATTTTTAGTCTTATCTATTTTTTGACATCTCTTATCTTCTTGGTGTGTTGTTGTCCTTTCATTATTTGTAATAATTGTTGAAGGAATGTCGTTTAATTTTATATTGAAGAAGTAATTTCTTTTTTGTTCTGTAATTTCACAATTACCCATTGATATTTAAGATATTTCTTCATGTTCTTTAAATAATAAATAATTAGCACTTCTCTATGTAGTTAAAATATAACTTTTTAACCACCGACAACTAAATCATCATTATTAGAAAGAGATATTCTTTTTTGACTTATCAAAATTTCCATAATTTTTATTAACCAAAAAAATATTTTTAAAACAAATGAATTAATAAATTATTTTATTTCACGTGAATGAGCTTGAGAAACATGCTTTTGGAGTTTACTAGAACTGCCCATATCCAATCCACAAAAAGGACAAGCAAAAGTTGGCTCTTCTGCACAGAAATGTTTATTCACATGACTCTCTATTTGGCTAATAGGAAATTTCTTACAACAGACAGGACATTCTAATAGCTCATTGCTTGGTTCTATTTTAACTACTTTTGGCTTTATTGGTTCTATTTTAACTGGTTGTGGTTCTATTGGTTTATTTTCAATTACTTTTGGCTTTATTGGTTCTATTTCAACTGGTTTTGGTTCTATTGGTTTAATTTCAATTGGTTTTGATTCTATTGGTTCTATTTCAACTACTTTTGGTTCTATTAGTTTAATTTCAACTACTTTTGGTTCTATTTTAACTGGTTTTGATTCTATTGGTTTATTTTCAACTGGTTTTGAATCAACACGTGAAGGTTGTATAGCAGGGCCTGTAGACAAAGAAGAGGGAATTATTGGTTGTAGATGAGAAGAAGGAGTAATTGTTTGGTTAGTAATTGATGGTTTAATAATTACTGGAGGATTCTGAATTTCATTGTTCATAGACTTAATATTAGTATCATCTCTGTTGACATGTTCAACAATATGAGAAATTATTGAATCAATACCTATTAATTGTTGACAAATTAAGCACTTAATTTTATGAGGTATATTATTAACTGAAGTACCATCTAATTTTTGATTTTCTGATTCTACACGTTTTTGTTTCTCTTCAAAGCTAACTTGATTATTAAGAATTTTTTCATTTAAACTTTTAATTTGCTCAACTTCCTTTGTTTTATTTTCATTATCAATTTTTATTTGGTCAAGTTCTTTAGTTTTTATTTCAAGTTGTTCTTGTAACTGTTTAATCTTTTTTTCTTTTTGGGCATCTTCTTCATTTAACTTATTAACTAAATCTCTAATCTCAGTAACTTCTTTTGATAACATCATCACACTTTTGAGAATTACATTTTGATTTGTTATCTCTTTTTCAAGACTAATAATTTTTTCTTGCATTTCCAAATTCTTTCTTTGAGTTTCAGCACACTGAGTATCAAAATAGTCAACCTTTTTTTGAAGTTCATCAAATATGAGAACCATTCCATTGTCTTTTATTTGAATATTGATTAATTCTGATGTCATTGATGTTTATTATTTTTCAGATAATTTCTTTTTATGACGTTTATTTTTCTTGTTTCAATTCCTCATTTGCATCAAAAGATAATCATGAAAAAAAAAATCCCGATTATTTTCATTTATTTTCTATAAAATAATATGCCATTTCTAAACTTCATCAATTAAGTCATAAATAAAAACAAAAATTGAATAAATAATGTTATTATATAAAAAAACACAAAACTGATAAATTAAATGACAATATTCTAAAAATAAAAATCTATTTTTAAAAGGGATATAAACACAAAAAAGAAAAGCAATTTCAAGAGTAAAAGAAATAAAAATAAAAATGAAAGTTAAGAAGAAGAATGAAAACCATTGAATAAAAAAACTGAATAACCAAAAATATTTTTGATAATAAAAAAATAAGACGAAAAACTGTTATTAATCACTTTGTTCAAAACAAACAAATTTTTTTTTCACGTCCATATCTGTAAAATTAAAAAATAAGATCCTTTCATTATTAAATGCAAAGCATCGACAAATATCTTTTACCAGACGTATCTCTTAGTTCTAAAGAATTAGCTATTGTCACTCAATTGAATACATTAATAAGTGATCCATCAAGTCGAGAGAATGGATTATCCTTTATATTAAAAAGAATATCACAACCAATGTTCCGAGAATTTTTATTGAGAGTTCATCCACAATTATATACACATCTTTTAAAAAGTTCTAATGATGATTTTGGAACATTACAAGTATCTTTATTTATTGTACATGCATTATCAATATATCCCCACTTCATTAATTTATTAGTAAAATATGATATATCAGTTTTTGAAGACTTAACAAGTTTATTACAGTCAAGAGATGACCCTAGTATTACTGCTCATACATTAGAAATTGTATTAAATGCATCTACAAGTATTGAAGATAAAACATTATTACAACCTCTTATTGACCCTTTGCTTTCTTTTTTTAGAGGAAATGTACAACATCGAAATTTAGCAGGAAAATGCTTATGTATATTATTAACTTGTTCAGCAAATCAAATTAGTTTCGTAAAACAAGAAGGTATTTATGCAATTCTTAATATACTTTATTCTCATGTTTATGATGAACAATTACTCGCTTCTGCAATGCTTCTTCAATTAATTAAAACACCAAATAAAGAATTAGCTGTAAAACTTCGTAAAATAGTTATTTTAAATAATGTTTTACAACTTATTAAACCTCTTATATCAACTGGTGGTCAATTAACAATTCGTGCATGGCAAATTAGTGCATTATTAACACTAGCAACAGGTTATGAAAAAAGATTTATTCAATCAGGTATCTTTTTTGATGCAGTAGAATTAATTGGAGACCAAAATGATAAAATAAAAGAAACATTACCATGTGCACTAACTGTTATACTTGCTGTAACAATTGATTCTAATCTTCTTGATGTATGTCGTGGATTTTCATTAGCAGATAGATTAAGAAATTGTGTTGAACATTTAAATCAATATGAACCATCATTAAGATTAGTGATATTAAATATTATTAGAAATCTTGCTGTTGATGAAGGACTTAGAGAAGAACTTCAAACAGTTAAAATAGCAAATTATTTAAAGACAAGTTTAAATGATAATAATTCATTAGAAAAAGCACGTATAGAAATATTAACATTATTAAAAGAAAATATCGAACCAACATCAGGAATTACTATAGGAAGAGATTCAGTTGAAGTAAAACGATTTGCTGATATGAATATGAAAAAAACACAGGCAAAACAAATTGTAGAAGAAATTGTTACAACTGAACAAGAATATTGTGAACATCTTAAATGTGTGGTAGAAGAAATAAAACCAAATTTTCAATTAGTTTTAAGTGAAAAAGAAATTTATGATATTTTCTCTAATATTGAAGACGTTTCAAATTATCAACAAAAGTTTCTTAAAGTATTAAAAGAACGATGGGAACAACAAAAAGAAAGAGAGTGGGTAGAAATATCTGATTTATTTGAAAATTATTTTTGTGAAGAAATGAAAAACATTTATAAAGAATATATGACCCGCTGTAATCAAGCAAATGACTATTATCAAACATTAAAAAAAGAATCAAAAAAAGTAAGAAAAGTAGCATTAGACTTAGGTATTAAAAGAATTTATATACCAACATTTTTAATTTATCCAATTCAAAGATTACCAAGATATTTATTATTACTTGAAACTTTATCAAAAAATGTACCTGAAAATTATGAAGAACATAATAAATTATTATCAGTTAAAGATAGAGCAAATAAAATAGTTAATTGGCTTAATGAAGAAATTAGAAAATATGAAAATGAAGTTTCATTAAAACAATGGACAAATAAACTTGAATTATCACCTGTAAATAATAGAATATTTATTGCTGAATTTCATCAAGTAATGGTTAAAGCAAGTAAAATGGTTAATGTATGCAGTATTATTCTTTTTAATGACATTGTTATCTTCTTAAAAAGAAAGAAAAATAAAGATAAAATTTTAAATCAAATTAATTTGATTGACTTAAAAGTTTTTGAAGTAGAAGATGAAAAAACTACTTTTATGTTAGTTTTTCCTTCTCCAACAAATAATAATGAAGATCAAAGGTATATGCTTTATCTTTCTAATGATGATGAAATGAAAGCTATCTTTTCTACACTTAAAAAAGCTGTTAACTTAGCAAAGACTCAAAAGAAAAATATGATTTCACGTAGTGCATCATTTATTTGAAACATTGTATTGATTTTATTCTTTCCATTCATTTTATTCTTCTTATTTTTAATTAACAAATAGAAAAGAAATTAATTATTAAATAATAATATTGAATGAATTATTTAAAACTAGTAAAAACCCTTGAATTTTCTCTTTATTAACAAAAAAGATATACTAAAACTTAATTATTCAATTCAATGTCTAGTGAACAAGACAAAGAAAG